GGGCAGATACCCCACACTGGCGGGTGAAACGAAGAGCGAGGGATTAGAGGAGGCGCAGGGGCGAGGCGGGCTGCTGAAATCACTAGACCCATGTGCTGTGTTACCTCTCTTCATTAGAATGTTAATGCTATAGGTTTATTAGGCGTTCACTTAATCTCAGAACACAACCAATCGTGGAAAGTAAAATACAGAGAATGGTATAAATGTGTGTTGGGGGTAGAGGAAAGAGTAGAGCTAGAGCTAGAGCTAGAGATGAGAGAGAGAGAAATGAGAATGAGATAAACATCAGTATCCAGGTTCTGAGAGAGAAAAGTGGCAAGGGACTAACTAAAGTCACTTAAAAGAAAAAACCCCAACAATTGGATTAAAACGCCCTTCTCTCTTTCTCTTTTCTCTATTTCTCCCTCTCCAGCCCATGTCCCTCTCCCTTTTCTATTTCTCTTGCTCTCCCTTCTTTCTGTCTTCCCTCTCCCAGACATGCTGGTAGCTAACGTTCAGTATTAGTTGTCATGGTGACCATAAATCACATAAATCCAAAAATACCCACCTATAATCTGAGATGAAGCTTTTATTTCCCTAGCGAAATAATATTTTAAAAGCTGTCAGCTGACAAAAAAAAAAAAAAAAGGAAAGAAAGAAACTCACCTCATTGTAGTAACCCAAGTAATATATTACTTATAAAGGTTTGAATTAAAATATCAGCCTGTTAAAAACAGGCTGGGAGAATCTTGGGCCCTCTTCGTGTCAGGTCCGCCCAACGAAGTTGACTCCATCACTCCTGATCACTCTTGAACACATATACACAATTCTATGTGCTCTCTCCTTCTATAATTTCTTCCCTCCCCTCGCAGCTACCTTGGTCCCCCCAGACTCGCTGTCTTGGGTTGTGAGAGAAAGGTGTCTCCGCCTGGATCAGAAAGCGGCTGAGCCTGTGCCTGGGCCTTTTGAGCACCTTGTGTGTTGGTCCTCTGTTACCAACCACTTCCCCAAATGAAAGACGGGGCTTTGGGGGAAAAGGTGTTGGTCAGGGCCACAGTGGGGGGCACTTGCTAGAGAAGTTGAGAAGAAAGACACGCAAAGAGAAGGACCGGGGCGGGAAAGACGGGGTGGAGGAGACGTGAGCTGGGCGCCGGGTTCCGGGGTTAAGCCTAGCCCAGGAAAGGTACGGCCTTGCTCCCGCTCCTGCCTAGTTCCCCGGAGAGGAAACTTTCCTACTGGGAGACCCTGGTAGTGGGGCGGGGGGTGCGGGGGGCGCAGTTGGGCCTTTTGTCTTCTACCTTGGGCTTGTTGTCTTTTGCCTATCTTTGGATTACAGGGTATTCGCCTAGATGAAGAGCCATTAATTACCCATTCAGTCAATATTAGGGGGACGACAAAGCTTTTTACATAGGATTAAGAAGACATCAGATTGTTCCATTAGTATATTCCTGCTCACGAATAAGCTTTCGTTATACATTCCCTTTTCCCCCGAGCCGCTCTAACAACTGCTGCATATATTAACAGCGGGCGGTGCCGCCTCACAGCCCAACCAGCCTTGGAAACTTCGAGTGCGCGCCGTCAGCACGAGGAGCGCGACCTGCAGGCCTGCCTCTGCGGGCCGCGATCCGCAGGGAGCGCCTGCTGGGACCACTGGTGCGATTTTCCCTGATAGGGAACAGCCCCCACAAAACAGAGAGGCAGCTTCTGCCAATAAGCTGAAGATCTGGCGGTAGATGCGGTAGGAAAGAAAAAGGAAACTCATCTTTACGCAGCTCCCCTCTCTCTTGTTTGGTCCTCAGACCTCGTGCCCCTTCTGCACGCCCCTGTCCCCTGCCCACGCGCCGCACTGGGAGCCCTCTACCCTTCGGGACATCCCCTCTCTCTGGCCGCTCGCAGGCCCGCGCGCCCCGCCCCAACCCCCCCGCACCGCATGCGGAGGTTTGCTGGAGACGGCCTTGGCCGTTCTCCCCGATACCCTCGTCGGCAGGAAAGTCTCTTCTTAACGGCGAAGGGAAACCGGATTATTTGCTTTCGGGGGTACATTAGGAATCCACACAGTGCTCGGCAAACATTTGCTGATTGAATGAATGAGGGTCTGAGGCCGCCAAGGCAGCGGGGGTTACCCGGGTCCTCGGAAGAAGACTGGGACCGAGTTGCCACCTCGGGAGAGGCTGTGTGTCGCGCTGGAGGCGTCGCAAGGGGCCTTGGTATCCCCCTCCCAAGGGAAGGAAATCTGTGCGCACCAGAGACCTGGTCCTAACACTTTCAGCCATTCACGTTGCTAAAGCTATTTACAAATGAATGGCGTCGCTGGGGGAGGCCGGGAGGAGGTCTCGGTGCTGGCCGCTAAGCCCGGCGCGGCGCCGGGACCGAGGGGCGGCAGCTCGGTCCGATTTCAAACCGGAATTCAGAGCCAACGCCCCGAAACTTTAAGGGTTACTGACGGGGGAGGATCAGTCCATTCCCTTCCTGAAGGTCAAGACCATTTTTTGAATTCTGCAAAACGGATGCTCCTTTGGGGACACCCAAAGTAAGGAAAAGCCAGGGGCTCTGTTCCAGGGGGATGTTCTCAGCGGTCCTCTGCCCTTTCTTTCTTAATTTGCCAGCTTTCCCTCCCTCCACTTGCCATGGCTAGCCATTCCTTTCTCCATCCTTTCTCAAACCCTGGCCTTCGGGGTCTCCAGCCTACCGCAGGCCTCCTCCCGTTAGGGTTGAGCCAGGCTGGGTCAGGCCAGCGGGTATCTGGGAAGGGACGCACGGTGTTTTGGGGGGGTGAAGAGAGGGTAGTGCCAATAATTGAATATCATGGCCTTTTTTGAAAATCGCATGTCACTGTAAACATGCTTTCTTTTTAAAAGCAAATAACCAAAAAAAATATAAGGGAGAAAAATCTCTTTATTTTAAAAGTAGGCTGCGGCCAGGAATTTGCATATTCCATATGTTAAATTTACTTATATTCAGTAAAGGGGACTCCGGCAACCTTCCTTCAGTGGTACTATGGCTTTGCCCATTCATGTTTGACAATTTTGGTCTACCAGATCCCTAAAAGCCAATACAATCTAGATTTTCAGGATTTCTTCCTATCACATGCCTCTTCTTAATTTGATGGCATTAAACATGTTTGGGCAGCAATTTTCTTCTTCGGTCGGAAAGGTAGAAAACAGTCTATCGGCAGCGGAGGGGAAGAGACTTTCAAGGGCACTAAAATAATCCGGGCCTGAAAGTAATGGTTAAGAAAACAATCGTTCATTATCTCTAGTTCTTTATTTGCTAATTATCAAAGCGAACGCCTAGGGGCGACTGTCCGGACTGTGACAGGAGCAGACAGGACTCCCCGGCTCTCCACCGCTTCTTGCCCACCTAGGAGGCCCCCATCCCACTCAGGCTTCTCCTCGAAGGACCCTACCTCGGTAGCTCGCTGGAGGACACCTGTGCTAAGAAACCATCCCCGGGGTCAAGGAACCCCGGGCGGGGGTGGGGGAGGAGGAGACATTTTGCGTCTCTCCACCTCCCAGCGAGAAATGTCACCTCGGCCGGCGGCGGCCAGCCCGCCCCGTGCGAAGAGAGACTGGGGAGCTCCCCTAGTCGAGCCGGAGCCGGAGCTGAACCCGCACAAGGCATTTTCCCCGAGAGTCATGGCTGCTCTTGATTTTTAACCATATCCCAAACATACTCTGGTCTAATAATTTATTTTTACGACCGATTATCAAACAGAAGAAGAATTTAACACAATCTTAATGACAGAAATCACCCGACGTTATCTCTGCACGGCCCCATTTAACCCCCTGGGGTTAATCCGGGACAAGTGAGCGTTTAACTGGCCCAGCAGGAGGACTCACGATACTGTGCAGGGTCGAAGCGCTCTGCCCCAGACCACTTTAGACATTTCATTTCAATAAATGATGCTTTTCTCTCGGATTCACTGGGAAGCCCGAAAGCGAGGCCTTTGTTTTCTTCTCAGCATACGGTTTGTCTGCTTGGCGGGGTCCCCAATTCGCCCCCCTCCAGCACACAGTAGATTTGTGTCCTTACACTTTAATCCGGAAAGAGGGGGTAAGGGGCCGAGGGCTGTGGGGGGCTTTATCTCCTCACGCTATCAAAGGTCAACAACCTCCTAAGTCTAGGCACTTATTTATTAAGGAGCCTGGAAAACCCGGAGAACAGAGGAACAGTAAATGTGAGTTTTTCATATATTCCAAGGGAAAGCTTGTCCCCTCATCCCTACACACACACACACACACACACACACACACACAACTCAAGGACAGGTTTCAGTTCAGCAAAGGACTGTGCAGTGGGTTGGAGACGTTGTAACTTTTACACAAGCCTGCAGACTTTGAGCAGCAATGTCCCTTGACTCGTCCAGATTGAAATCAGCCAATCAAGCAACGACACCGCCAAAACCCACGACCCTGCAACCAGCACAACAGGTAGGTTCGCGTCGACAGGGGCGCACACTCCATTCCACCCTCGGCTGCTGCGCACAGTCGCTGCCCTCAGACTCCGCAGGCTGTAGTCAGCTCCTCCACCTCCCCTGCCAGGCGAATCTTCGCCAACACAAGCCCGCCGTGCGCGCCTTCCGCTGTTCACCCCGCACCCACAAGCCCGGGCGGGGCTCGGCTGGGAGCCGCCGGCACCGGGCGGGCCGTCGGTGGTGCTGCGCGCAGAGGGACGTGGCGAGCGACAGAGGTCGCTGTTGGACCACTTTTCCACGCCAGCTAGAGGCACGGAGGTAGGTTGCGATGTGCATAGGAGATCAGGCCACACGGGGAGAGCGAGAAAGAACGAGAGGGAGAGGGAGAGGTGTTGGATCTCAGGAGTGCAGTATAATTTGGGGAAAGGAATGAACGTCGCTGGGACGGCTGCTTCCCGTCCCACCCAGAGGCCAAGTGTCTAAGTTCAAGGAGCAGGCCCGCCCCGTCTGGGGGCCTCGCCGGCGTGCTCCTGACCTGAGGCCCGGAGGCCCAGAGGCCCGGAGGCGGGTGCCCAGCGCGCGGCCTGCGCTTCGCTCCCGGCCTTACCATTGGCGCCGGGATGCTGCCGCGGGAAGAGCTTGCCGCTGGCCGCCTCTTTCCGGCTCTCGGGAGAGTCGGTGAACTCAACCTTTTTGATTTCGGAGTCTTTGGAGAAGAGGCATTCAACGGCCGCCGGCTGCACGCCTGGGGTGCGCGAGCCCGCCGCACGTGCGGGGAGAGAGCCACCCCGGACGACGGCGGAAAGGAGCGGGGGTAGGGGTGGGGGGGAGGCAGGACCGAGGAGAAAGAGGGACAGAGAGCAAAGACCCAGTTAGAGGAAAGAGCGGAGGGCACTCCCGTCTCCCGGATCGTCTGGCCACCCGGCGCAGGGCAGCGTACTCTCTCCACGCCTGCCTTCCTGCCTGCCAGCGGCTCCCGCCGGGAGGAGTGGGCCCGGGACTCTGGGACGCGGGGAGCGGCTCCCTCCCCACCCACACCCTCCCGCAGGGCGAGGCCGCGGCATCCTGGTTCTGGTTTCCTTCCTGCCCCGGCCAGCCCCTCCGGGAAGCGCCTCTCGCCGCGGGGCCGGTGCCCTCTCGCCGCCTTCGCGTGGCGCGGTTTCCCGTCGGGGGACCCGGGCAGGAGAAGCGAGTCTTACCTAATTGCACACACGCTGACACTAGTTTGCGGCAGTTGGTCTCCATGCCCCGTTATCTGCAAAACAGAAGAGAAGGAGGGCTGTGAGGAGCGGCGATGGGCGAGCGCGCAGGGTCAGAGGAGGCTACCCGCGGGGCGGACGACCTCAACACGAGCCACTGGGCGCCTACTCTGTGCGCGGTTTCAGGCGGGTTTCTCGGACCTAACAGCCTCTGGCCGCCCAGCCTCCTCCCCACCCTCGTCCCCGGCCCAGAACCTCCGAATGTTTACCGAGAGGGGGATCTCCCTCCAGAGCTGCAGCGAATGGGCCCAGGGGCTCTCGGCCGTGGAAGCCACCGTGTTCTGGGGACCCGGGCTGTGGAACTACTCACAGGGTGTCTGTGTCAGGGGTTAAAAGCCCATCTGAACACGAAGGCAACTTTTGCAGACAAAATTTGGGGGTGGTGGAGAGGACCTTTCTCTTTGGGCGGTTGTATTCCAAGGCCACCATTCAGCATAGTGCTTGTTCGTTAGTTGGAGCTCAGTAAACGTTTGTAGAATGTCAGAGTTAACTTGTTCCTGGCCTAGACTGCAGTTTCCCTCCACTTTCTGTCATCCTGAACGAACAGGACGCCAAGGCTCTCGGCCTAGGGTGCTCCAGGAGCGCGCTGGCTTCGGGCCTCTCATCCATCAGGAGCCACTTTTCCATATTTAGCCACACTTTTCCCTGGAGATACTCAGCCGGCCATTTATTTACCCTAAAGTGTGATTTAAGATTGCAGAGGAGGGAAACGAGGTGGACTGAGTGAGGCTGGGGAGAGCAGGGCAAACGTGCCCTGAGGGCTTCCTGCCCGCCGAGGACGGGGAAAGGGCTCTGAGGGAATGGCGCCCCCAGTTCTCCCCCTTCTCCTCCCCGGCAAACCAAAGCTTTTTCAAATTTCCAACCACAACGCAGCGAGCCAAGCGTTTAACGCGCGCCCTCTTCTCCGCTACAGGCAACCCGGGAGAGGTGGGTGGTGAGGGGCTCTGCCGGGGTGGGTAGAAGAGCCGCGGCTGCTTTAAAGACAGAAGAAAAGAAAGGAGGGCCCTTCGATCTCGGCGCCGGCCTCGCTCCACGCTGACCAGGGTATGCCGGCGGCGGGAGGGCCCCTTGGGCTCCGGACCGGGGCTGGGGTGGGGGCGGGTGGTGGCCCGTCGGCCTAGGGGCAGAGGCGGGGCAGCGAGCTGCGGGTCTGGCTCTGGCCTGAGTCGCGTTTCCCCGCTCCTCGGCCTGTCCTGGAAGGAGCCGGGCTCCGGGGGCCTCTGGCCAAGGTCGCTGCCTAGAGGAGGGGCTGCCCCGCACAGCGGCGTGGGGATCCAAGGGTGAGGACGGCCAGGCGGTTCCCCCACCCGGTAGCGGGGACGCGGGCGGGGGCTCTGCCGATCCTTGCGGGCCCGGGGGCCCAGAAGTAGCAGTTTGGCGGCTCCAGATTTAGTGATTCTGCAGTAAAATCACAGGATTAGTCCCTGATTGAGATGTCTGTTCGTGAGATATTACAAAATTCATTATCACAGCTTTCTACTAACTCGATATGAAGTAACACAGATGGGATTTTATTAGTCCAGACTTCAAATGTTTACTTATGATAATTTCAGGGGAAATTTGCATGTCATCATCATTTCGATAATCTTTTTCTTTTTTTTTTTTTTAACGTCTGAACTGGCTGCATTATTAGCCGGTAGCCTGAGCACTGCAGATGGTAACTGCAAATATTTTTATTTTTTAAAAGAATGAAATATACAAAAGAAAAAGATTGGGTCGCGCAGGGTAAAGTCAGTCAATTATTACACATTCTCCCCCCACTCCCAAGCTTCAGTGCTGAAGACCAAACAAAGCAACACAAAACAAATCTTCAAGAACTCCACTCTAAGGACTGAAAAGAAGGTCAAGGCGTGTTCCTTAGCTCACTCTTACGTGTCCTTGTGACTAGGGATTTATTTTGCAGTCAAAATGAGCCCTGAGACCTGCTTTTTTTTTTTTTTTTTTTTTGCTCCATATAATGACCAGGCCTACGAGATGAATTGAGTCTAAATAACTGGGGCAGATAATTTTTTAAAAGAGACCTCCAATTCCTGCCTGCTGATCCTTAAACTTGCCCTGTCAAGACAAGTCTGAAAAGACAAATTTGGCTGCTGGACTTCGGGACTGGCTTCCATGGCTAATCTCACAAATTAAGATGCGCAACTTTTCCTGATGGGAAGTGGTTCTCACACCCAAAGTTCACATGCTGGTTGGAATGTATATGCCAGGCACTCTTGTTTTGGCCAACTTGAGTTTTCTATTGTGAGCATGATAAAAAGCACCGAACATCTAATGGAGCATTCTGAACAGCCCTGGCCAAGGCAGGGAGGCCAGCCCTAAGAAACAAAACAATTTGCTTAAAAATAATTTCTGATGATTGCTCTAGGATGAAATTGCAGGAAAAAATATAATTCTAATAATTCCAAATCCTTTCACATCTCCCCCCTTTCCATTTACTTTGTTACTCCCTAACAAAATCTTTAATGGAAAGTTTAAAAATAAACAGCACAAGAACATATGTTTTAAATGAACTAAATCGGTGAGATTAGCCAGTAAATTAATCTGCAGTGGGTGTTCATTTAAGGAAATTAAAATACTGCTTAACACAGTTCTGTATTTTACCAGTTTAAGCCTTCTTTTAAACCAATTAATATTGATGCTTTCAGAACACTTGAAGACAAACGTGCTCAACTTGAGGAACAAAGCACCTGAATAATTTAAGTGTAGTTTTGCTGAGGTGAAGTAAAACATTCCATAAATGAACTAGCTATTTAATGTTTAGGGAAAGTTTGATTACTGAAACCTTGCTGGCTTATTTTATGTTCCATCAACAAAAATCCTCAATCTATTTTGCTTAAGTGCTTTGTTTCCTTGACATAATTGGTATTTGAATTTTAGATGAATTTCCTCCAAAATGGTATTAAAACCATCTTTAATTCTTATTAATGGCCTAAAAAGAATACAAAGGAAATCCCCCTAAATCAGATGAATTTTTCATAAAAATATTTTAGAATGTATGAATTCCTATGTTATTTTAATTTATAATAGTAAAAGTTTTTTCCCATTTAGTTTACTTTAGTAAGACATGATATTCACACAAAAAAGAGTAAAAATCACACTAGCCTATGATGATTTGATTTCTAAATTGCTTAGGAAAGTAAAGTCATTAACTTGAAATAAAAAGAAACAGGTATTTCTCAGATTTAGAATCCTAATATTTTTCTTGCTGGACAGTTGGAAAACAGTCTTCTCCCCTGCACCCATTTAACATGTATCTCCTGAAGTGCAAGATTGGAGTTGATGGTGATCAATTTAAAGGATTTATAATCCGGAGTAATTGTGTGAGCCTGGCATCCAGGCCTGGCTTCCAGGTAATTCGCCTGGGCCGGAGAGGTCACTGACTGCCAGTTAAGATGGAATCTTTTTTCCAGTTGGTAACAATGGGAAGGGGGCTAATCTTCCAGTAGCTGAAACTTTGTACCCGGCCCTTCATCTTGAGAATGCTAATCCTCGGCCTGAGGATTTGTCCCTGCAGTGCTGGCACCGAGATTTAAGGGAAGATGCCTCATTTTAAATGCCAGCCGTGGTGTCGCTTCCCACTCGACTTCAGCACCCTGTAGATTGTTAGTGTCTGTGACTGGGGACGAAAGGGACAGAGCTTTGCAAGATCTGTTTGCCAACTGCGTTACCTTGGGGGAAGGCAGCCCCAAGAGCCACAAATCACCTACGGTGAAGAATCTCCAAAGTGGAACAAATTTCCAAACTCGCATTATCTCACATCCCTGCGGGAGACACGGCCTCCACTTACCGGCTACAGGAGAGAGCTGCTGTCTCCGCGTCCCGCCGCTTCCCGGGGAGATTTCCAGCGAGCCGAGGCGCTGGCTGCACCGCAGGCGCCCGAAAGCCGGGCCGAGGGGGCTGCGGGGCTCCCGGGGTGCCAAGTTCCCAGGGCGTCCACGGGTGCGCGGTGGCCTCCGGAATCTAGCCGTCACTGGCAGTTTCTTTCTGCTCCTCTCCAGCTTTCTCGCTCGGTTTCGCACTCTCTCTCCCCTCCCTCGCTCTCATCCCTCTCTCTTCCCTCGGCTCCGACTCCGTGAGGGGAGTGACGTGACGTCAGCAGAGATTCCACCAAACTCCACTGCACAGTGGCCGGCGTGCGGGCGGGCGGCCGAGCCCGGCTTCGCGGCGGGCGATCAAGGGACAGCAGGGCTCTCGGGCGGGCGCGGGGGGAGCGGCAGGGGCCACGGGAAGCCAGGCAGGAGAGGGAGGTGGATGCGGCGGGCCGAGGAGTCGGGAACCGGGGAAAGAGCCCGGGAGAGCGAAAGCGGGCGAGGGAGCCGGCAGGGCGCTCAGACAGGAGCCGCCGAGCGGCAGGCGCACGCACTCCCACTGTGGAGAGGAGGACGAGAAGGGAGGATGGGTGCAGGCGAGGAAAGAGGAATCTGCGCCAGACCGGGAGCGCTAATAAATCAGAGGGGGCGGGCCCGGGCGCCGGGAGACCGAACCGTACTCCCGGGGAGCAAACCAGGACGGCCAGAGAGGAAGGGACAGGGAAAGTGGCCCAAGAAATGGAACAAAGGACAGGATGCGTGGGTTTGTTTGGGACGATGCGTGTGGGGTGTGTGAGTGTGCCTGCGTGTGACCTTCTTCCAGACCTGCAGGGTTGAAGGAAGAGGTCACAGAAACGAGGGGTTGCGAGACCGGGGGGTGGGGGCGGTGAGGGACCCACAGAAGGCTGGAGTGGAGGTGGGCGGGGGGGGGGGGGGGGGGGCATGACTGAGGAGAAATCTGGAAAAGTGAGGTGAGGGGAGGGGGCAGAGGGTGGGAGGGCGACAGCCGGGAGCGAGCGAGCGAGACTAGTTAGCGGGCAAGGCCGGGCCGCTTGGCCCAGCACCGCCGGCCCGGATGCTGCGCCCGAGGTCAAGGCGGGCGGACCAGGCGCGCTGCACCCGGGGGCCGCTCGCAGGTGGGCCCGGCGGGGCCCTGACCGCCGTACACCGAGGGATTGCGCTGGACAAGGCTCCGGCGCTCAGAGGCTAGAATTTCCTCCGCTGTACCTACACTCAACAAGTTCACCCCGGGTCACGGATATCTCATTTTTTAAAATGACGAGGTTAAGGTTCCTGGTGAACATGGGATTAAATTGCAAGGGATGGGGCTAGGGGTGGAGGGTGGAAGGGAAGCTACCCTCAAATCCACATTTGCACCTAAAAATCGAAGAACATGTGAAGTTAGAGGCGTCATTTTCACCCGAAAAGTGTGCCCTGCTTCTAAACCCTGTTTTTCCGATTTCTTGACTCCAGCAAGGGCGTGTATTTTGGTAGCGAGCAGGATATTTTTGCTCTGTCCTGCCTTTGGGTGGAAGGACTATAAATATGATTCTCCTGGAAGACCAGGTGAAAAGGCTTCTGCCAGCCATACTGGACAAAGTTCTTTCAGTCTCAAGGGCGTCCTGTTAATGTAGGTTTTGGGGAAGCGTCGGAAAACAGCTGTAGCTCTCGGTTCGGTTTTCCCACCAATATTCATTCCCGCATAGAGCAAGACTCAGCCAGGCCCGCCATTAAGTGCCCTCCCCTTCTTTCCTCAATAGGGAATTAAGTTTTCTCTAAAAGTAGTGTTGCTCTTCCTAAATCAATATACCAACTCTCTCAATTTTAGGAAAATATAGTGACTTGTTGGGAGAACGTGTGTGAAATATATACATTTAAAAAGCCTGCTGTTTAAAATAACCCAGGTCATCACATAGGTGCTGGGCGTTCCTTACATAGGGGGCTGTCTGGAACATGTTATGTGTTTTCTTGAATTACTTCGTGTTTTGAATTCATCTGAGTTAGCAGTAAAAACAGGCAAACAAACTTGCTCAATTTGTTTTGAGTGTTAAATCCCTTTACTTTGAAATAGCTAACAGTCGACAGATGGACTCATTTTATGGAAAGAGTTAGCCTCTTCAGCCAGGGAGAAAACTGACGAGAGATCTATGTTTTTAAGCCATTTCTAACCTCCACATAACATCCGTGAAAACTCCAACTTTCTCTCTTCCCCCAGTGGAAATTCAAGACGGTTTTATTTAAGGGGAGAGAAATGAGGAGAAAATGCCCACGTGCTGTTTTTATTATTTCCCCTCTGTCTCTGAGAATTTTTATTTCTGGTTTCTGAAATCTAGCTGAGGCAAAAAAAATCAAACTTCTTCCAGTCCCACCATTGAAATCCAAAGTTATAGCAAACCAGAGAATGTGGTCCGAGAAAGATGTTTTCATCTCTGCCTGTCAACGATTTTTGCTGCCCCCCTCCCCGACTAACGGGTAAATATCCTCCCTCCCTTTGTTTCTTTTCATTTTATAGAGATTAAGAAACGCTCATAGCAGAACGGCCTCGCCTTCATCTGGTGGCGAGGATGGGGAATCGCACGGAAAAGTGGGAAAAGAGTGAGAAAATCAGAGACAGGAAGACGCAGAGACGCGAGAGAGACGAGAGAAGAGAAGGGGGGCAGCGCTGCAGAGACGCGCGGATCTGCGCGTGCATCCCCTCCCCCTGTCAAGACTCAGAGGTTTGCAAACCAGGGCTGGGATGCAGGAGCTCCGGGAAGCTCTCGCTCCCCTCGCCCCCCTTCTGTCTGGAGTCTCGCTCGCCAGGGGCTGGTTAACCCCAGTCCCGGCCGCCGCAGACACCGCGCTGAGCCTTCGGGTCCTCCCCTAGCCCAGCGCCAGTGCAGCTGAAGTGAGCAGCTGGTGGGAAATGCAAATGGCTTCTGGAGAAATAGAAGATACAGAATGATTCTCATTCCCTCCTCGAGTGTGTGGAAGGAGCTGGACATACGTTTCACACTCCTAATCCTTCTTTTACATTTTTAGTCATACTCCTATTAAACAACTAATTAATGCCCAGAACCACCAGGGAATACATTAGGCATGCAGCAGAGAGACAGGGTGCTGGGGGGCTACAAACCACCGAGCTGATTTAAGCCGTGGATTTCAGGTTTTTCCCTCGTCAGAGCAGAAATGGAAAAGTGGGCCGTGGCGATTGTATTTAGATTCCGACTACTTCAAATTAGAAGGGGGTAGAGGGAGCGTCCAAGCAAAGCAAGCAATTCCCTGCCCTGCAGATGTAAACAAGATTGTAGCATCAAAGGTACCAGCTCCTGAAGGGCCAGAGCGCCTGGACTGGGCGCTCGGGGGG